AGGAAAAGGTCAAGGTGATTTTGTGTTCTTTTTCTTCTTTTTATATTTTCAATACTAATCCTTAATTGTACACAATTTTACACACATTTATAATACTGCCGGTTATCATAGAGAATTATTATTTGTGTGTTGCCCTCTAGTGGCAAACCCTTAAACCAAATATTTGTATATACCCTTCCTTCAACAATTCTTGTTATACTTATTAATAGTTTTTACATTCTACTCATTTTGGATGTCCTTACCACTCTTAAACTAAGCGCTGAACACAGATGCTGACTTTTGACTCTCCGTTTCTTCCTTATTGTGACCCCCCACCCAAAACAGCTCCCTGCAGTGAATGCGCAGCAGAGTGTGACAGATGCTCTCTTCTCTCCATCCACCCCCACCTCCCAGCACACACAGCACTCAGCGCTTTGTTTTTCAGAAGTTTCAATACTGTCTTCGCCTCAGTGTGAGCCGTTTAATCTCAGATTGATGAATTGGGTCTTTCATCGTAGGGATCAACATCTTTGTGCAGCAAGACCATTTTTGAGACTGGTTCTTGGTCTACCCATTGAAGTGACCCATGTTTTATTTTTGTCTCTCACACAAATTCTGATTTCGATCAATCCGTATTGATAACTGACAAAACCTTTCCATCTACAATTCTTTTTTGAAAACATCTAAATCTTTCCCGCCACTTGATATGCTCTCTTTCAAATAACACGATTAAAAATAATCTACTGTAGTAGATTGTAGTACAACACATACAGTGATGATAAGACATATGGGAAGGTGGACATCTGGATATAACATAATACGACACATTATTCAAGCTTTGTACATGTTATTGTTTATTTGTGTGTCTTCAGGTTATTTGTCTCTTGAAGATAATATTCACCCACAATTGCTCTCCCAAACACATTTAAAGGGATAATTCACAAAGAAATAAAAATTCTGTTATCATTTACTCACCTTCTTGTCACTTGAATGCATTTTTTCCCTTCAGTGGAACACAAAAGAAGATAAACATTTAAAATGACCGTGTTTCATCAAATGTTTCCCAACATTTTGGCCCTTTTAATAAGGCTCAAACATCCTTTCATTAAAAACAAATGTTGATCTTGTGATTTTCAGTCACATATTCAAGACCATTAATTGGGTGTGGTCTTTGTACTTTGGTAACTGTTTGTAATTCAGCCTATAATTGAAGACATTTAATGTCAAAGTACCGAAAACTGTGATATCTGTTCTTTTAGTCAGACTGTCTCTCTTTTTTTAACCATCAATTGGATATAAGGACATTTGGACTTTTGTTATTAGCGATTCTTTGTTTGGCTCACAGTTGAAAGGGGTAGGGTGGAGGAATGCTGTTCAACAGCCAACACAGCCTTCAATTCATCATGATAAGAACACAGCAAGGGAACATACACAACCCCTTCAATGACACCTAAAATTGAAACCTTAGTGTTTGTCAGCTCTCCTTACAAAGTCAATGTTGCATGGATACACCAACACCACACAGAACAGTGATTCCCAAACAGAGGATGTGTGCCTCAACAGAATTCATCTGGATCCAATGAGTACTTTCAGAAGTAAAATGTAAAGTTTCTTGAGGATGAGTAGATTATAATTTTCCTCATCCTTATCTTATAGGCACTTGGGCTTTTCACAGTTGTCGAATTTAACTCTTCCTTTAGTCCCGGCTAAAATACCATTTTATATTTCTATGTTTTATTTGTTTACTTAGTATTTTTAGTACTAGTGAAAGAATAGTGAGAGCTTCAAAATGTATCGTTCAATTGTTTAGCAACAACCAATCATTAACTGAACTGCCCTTTGCTGATTAAATATCCATGAACTGTGAACATAAACATCGACGCGCTGTACTTCAGCCTTTGAGGCAAAATGATGGACAACGTGTTAGCTGGAGTGAAGAAGAGACAGACTTACTTACCGTGATATACCGAAATGTCTGTTCTGGAGCAGTGAGGAACATAAAGGACAGCTGATGCGTGAGAGCCGTTTTTAAACAGGTTTGTCTGTGTTATCGACACTGCAAATAAGAACGTTAACGAGTTAACGATTGTACAGTATGACAATTCAAATAAAGCAATAACCCCCAAGAAGCCGCGGTATACAGTGAATTTATAACAGTTAAGGGGCGTTGTTAGGCACGACGCGAAGCGGTTTTTTATAAAACGGTTATTCCATATACGTAGTTAGGTTTCACAAAATAAAACAGAGCAAGTAAAGTGTAATGATATTAATAAAAACACTAGTTATTCTTCCACCAAACAATATAGTTCCAATGTAGTTCAATGTAGAAACAGTTGTGGTTGAATTTATAACAGTTAAGGGGCGTTGTTAGGCACGACGCGAAGCGGTTTTTTATAAAACGGTTATTCCATATACGTAGTTAGGTTTCACAAAATAAAACAGAGCAAGTAAAGTGTAATGATATTAATAAAAACACTAGTTATTCTTCCACCAAACAATATAGTTCCAATGTAGTTCAGTGTAGAAACAGTTGTGGTTGCAAACAGTGGCGGCTCGTCGGGGGGAGGCAGGGGAGGCACAGCTTCCCCAAAATGTTGAGTTGAAAATGGGAGGAGGGCGATTTAATGTTTATAAAATTCACAATTCATTTCAGTTCATGTCTCAGAATGTGTATTTTTTGTTTGTAATTTTATAGCTGCAATACCATAACATGTTAATGAAGTTGGAAAGCGTCGCTTTTCTATCGCGAATGTGCCGAATCTGCTGATTATTAATTACAACCGCTAAATAATAGAGAAGGGGAGGGGGAGTCCGGGGGAGAGCTGAGCTCTCGTGCCTCCGTTGGTAAAAAAGAATTAGCCAATCACCATCGAGTGTTAATTAGCCAATCACTGAGGAGTGTTGAGAAAAGAAACCTAGCAAGGGAGGCTAGCCTCCTTCTGATATCAACCAAGCATCAAAGAGATGTAAATCACGTGATATTAGTTTGAACGTCTGCCGCTGCGCTGATGATGTACCAAGTACTTATGATGAGTAGCGATATTGAATATTTGATTGCCAACAGATTTACCAAGCTATCATTCAAACATATATAACTGGATATAGGCTACAGCAGTCGGCTTAATTAAATGGCACAACAGGCAGCTCTCTTTTAACACAGACTTTTAAGAAGGGATGGATGTTTGCTTCAAGTGATAGGCCAGGTAAGTGAAATTATATTATCTTGCTGTATGTGTGTCGTTTTCTTTACACTTGACTTCTTTACTGACTAAAAGCAACCAAAAAGCCATTTTAAAGTGGTTAAGCAAATAATAATAATAATAGGCAGGGATCCCAGACCAATACTTTAAAATCCAGGAGCCGCCACTGGTTGCAACAAAGTGGTTGCCAAGCAACACACAAAGTAAACAAAAGGTGTATGTTTGTAGAGTAATTTACAACAGCTTTGAACGCAGCTCAACCAATCAGAACCAAGGACCGGAACTACATAAAAAACAGCATATCCCACAGTTTAGAAGGTTAACTATTTGTGTAAAAACGTTAGTAAACGCTCTTCCACCAAATTTTATATTGTACACTGTTCAACATTTTTTGAATGAAAGAAGAAAAAGAAAAAAAAACACTCGTACATTGTTCAATATTTTTAGCAGAAGAAAGAAAAAAAACAAACACTCGAGCATAACTGGAAGGCTGCTTTATTGTTTGGAAAAGGTTTCGTGCTCAAATGAAGACAATCTTTCACTGATTCTCACTAAGTCATGTGGTTGTGCAACACACCCTCTCCTCTCCAACATCAGTGGCAAGAGATAAGAACAACATTATGAACCAAAAACCACTTGAGCTATTGTCAGCAAATGAAGGAAATAGCATCTCAGTCATGCTACAAAAGAACAGACAGAAAACTATATTTATAGAAAAATAAAAGAAGTGGCTGAAAATTAACATAAGCTGAGTGCACAGAAGGCAAACTGTTTCTCTTTCTACAGACTCAACCTTTAAGAGATTCATTGAGTGACCGACGCACTCTATTTCCCACCCCATGCTATTTGACAATCTCTGATGATGAAGTCAGGCTGATGCCAGTAAAGTGTTCTTTTTTTATTTTCTTTTTTCCCGCTTTTTGTAAAAAAAAAATTTATTTTGTCTTTTCTTTTTTTCATTTCTTTTTTTGCTTTTTAATAGATGTCACAGACATTCTTTAGTTCAGTTCTTTCTCCCAGTGCTCATTTGAAACAAGCTCCACTTGTTTAGGAGAATTTTATGCAACATCATCAACATTTTCGACAAACAAAATTGGCAGCAAAAGGCACCTTAAACAAACATACAAAGACAAGAAAAGCATAATATAAAGCCTAACCAAACCTAAGACTGCAAATTGCATTGCTGTGTATCTAAGAGATGAAGAACAAGCTAAGCTTAAGTCAAGCTGCATCACACACATTTAAAGTGACCAAACCGTCACACGCGCTTCGTCCCCTCCCCCCTACCCCCACACGCGCACACACACTCATTCTCTCAGACTCGGACTGAAAGATCATGGCATTTGGCGATTAGGCCGGAAGATGAAAACAGGGTTTATGGAGGAATTAAGAACATGTGGAGTCCAGTGCATATGTATGTAGTATGTGAGTTGGAGATGGTAGGACATATTCACACAGGGTGTAAATGAATTGCTGGTAGTGCATTCCCCTCCCAAAAACAGGCGACAGAAGCCATATCGAAAAGCCAGTACATCACTGTGCATTGAAAGCTAGACACGCGCACGCACACAGACAACACTCGATCAAACCCAGACGTCTCAAACACGCACATAAGCGCACACTATGTGGGCCAGGTCAGAGTTTTGGTCGTTCACCGAACGTATTGCACAAAAGAAAGAAGAACGTGAGCAAGTGACAGCCAGTAGTGCTTCACCTCCACTCCAAGCAGAGGTCAACACAGAAGAGGACAGTGCTCTCATATCATATATACATACATATGTATATGTGTGCATATATATACACATATGTACATATACATGTATACACAGATACATATGTTATATAGCTCTATATATATGCCATGATTTATGTATAGATTTATATATACTTTTTGCATTTAACATATATTGGATTCCTCTCTTTAATGTGAAAAGTGTTTTAAAAATCTACACCTTCTAACTAAATATGTCACAGTCTACCTAGTGAGACCAGGGCAATGAGTGAAGCCATTCGATTAAGGTTATAATTATTTTTCAATAATAGATTAATAGCAGTAGTAGTTTTTTTTCTGTATTTACAAAAAAACCTATGCATGCCGTTAAAATAAAATTATATATTACATTATTTATAGTCTCTTAAAAAGTCCATTCTTAACTTTTCAGCATTTTGTGCTGCTTACAACATAGCCTATACTGTACAATATATATTTTTAATTAGATTTTTCATTCGTTTTTGTTTTTAAATGAACATATGATCTGTTATTTGTTCTTTTTTGTTGTTGTTTATACAGACGAGCCTCCAAGGCTGCATAAATGAGAATGATTGAGCTTTGCTGAGCAGAGGTTTTTTTAATTTCGTTTTGTTTCAGGTCAACACCCTCACATGCAGCAACTGGACCATTGTCACCAGATGACAGGTAAGGGAAAACCACTGACATTTCAAGAAACTGAAAATGTAGTCGCTCTGATGTGTGGAGTTGCCCGGCTCACAATAAGCTGCTGTGGGACCAGTGCTGAATGGTTATTTGGCATTAGTGTAGTGGTGTACTGATGAGAAACAAGGCTGACCAGGGGTCGAATAACTGCACATTTAAAACCAAGGCCCTCCGTAGAACAGTGGTGAGAATGAACAATATTCTCAGTCTGGATTTCATTTCATCATAACCTCCACAATTAACACTTTTATTACTGCCTGAAATCTCTGAAGCTTGGCTCTGTGTCAGATAGCCCTACTCTTCTCTCTACACTAACTAAATATGTCACAGTCTACCTAGTGAGACCAGGGCAATGAGTGAAGCCATTCGATTAAGGTTATAATTATTTTTCAATAATAGATTAATAGCAGTAGTAGTTTTTTTTCTGTATTTACAAAAAAACCTATGCATGCCGTTAAAATAAAATTATATATTACATTATTTATAGTCTCTTAAAAAGTCCATTCTTAACTTTTCAGCATTTTGTGCTGCTTACAACATAGCCTATACTGTACAATATATATTTTTAATTAGATTTTTCATTCGTTTTTGTTTTTAAATGAACATATGATCTGTTATTTGTTCTTTTTTGTTGTTGTTTATACAGACGAGCCTCCAAGGCTGCATAAATGAGAATGATTGAGCTTTGCTGAGCAGAGGTTTTTTTAATTTCGTTTTGTTTCAGGTCAACACCCTCACATGCAGCAACTGGACCATTGTCACCAGATGACAGGTAAGGGAAAACCACTGACATCACTATAAGAAACTGAAAATGTAGTCGCTCTGATGTGTGGAGTTGCCCGGCTCACAATAAGCTGCTGTGGGACCAGTGCTGAATGGTTATTTGGCATTAGTGTAGTGGTGTACTGATGAGAAACAAGGCTGACCAGGGGTCGAATAACTGCACATTTAAAACCAAGGCCCTCCGTAGAACAGTGGTGAGAATGAACAATATTCTCAGTCTGGATTTCATTTCATCATAACCTCCACAATTAACACTTTTATTACTGCCTGAAATCTCTGAAGCTTGGCTCTGTGTCAGATAGCCCTACTCTTCTCTCTACATGAGAGTTCAGTGTGGTGGGAGCGCTTCTGCTTTAGCTCCACCCCAGATTACAAACATTCTCTGGACCTAGTGAAGGCCCTTATTGATGACATCAGAGTCACATGATACATCTGTGTTGTATCCTGAGAATAATGGGGAAAGTCAACAAGCATCAGTCTGTCTGAAAGTGTTAAGGAGTAGAAGATCACTCCACTTCTGAGACATTCCAGAAACTTCCAGACACAAATTGCACACACCAAATAATCAGACAAACATCTTTGGCTTCTCCTTAAACAGCTGTGACTGCCTAACCATCCCGCTGTCTCTCTCAAGTCCTGTCCTGTCCTTGGCTACAATCAAACCATTGCTGAAGATGTGATGGTTTCATACATGGATAAAAATGTCCGGCTGATCCTAGAAGGACAAACCGGGACGAGACTAGACGTAGACAAGCTGCAAAACTCGAACGAAATATAGCATGTAAAAATCAAATGAAAATTTTTTTTTTTAAATAAATAAAACTGCCACTTTCTCAGAAACGGTTATAGCTCATCTCATCTAACCCTGATGAGGATTAAAAATGCCAACCAACTTGCTACTCCCCTAATAATGCCTAAACCATTGCCCCCCCCCCTGGACCCACCTACCATATGTGCTGTAGGTGAGGTAAGCGATATTGCTGCATACAAATAAAATAAGAAGCTTTAGGAATTACAGTGTTGTTTTGTATCATTTTCCTCCCGTCTCCATACACACACATTGACATTTAGTTTTCCCATTCATTATCTCCTGAGCAGCAAAAAAGGGGATGTCCCTTGTATCCTTCCTCTCCAATAATGTGCCACAATGCTAGTATTGGTTTCAATGTACGTATGCCACTGATTAGCCACAGGCATTTTGCCCCATCTGAAGCCAATCCCAAATTTTGTCTATTTCATAATGTTAAGTAGAGGAGAAGACGCAATTCAGCATCTTAGGCCCATATTCGGTTTCTGGTTGTAAATTTAGCCAGCGGACAGCCTAAAACATTGTCAAGCCACTGTGGTGGTCTGTATTAGTGTTTTGTGGACTATGATTACTCATGCAAAATTTCTGATCAAAACATGCCATCATGCAAGTCATTTCTATGCATTGAACAAGCACAATAATTTATTATTCATTTGGAGATGTGTATTGGGGGCCCCTGGTTATTGCCCCCTGTCCTATTGTGTGAAAGCCCATGTAGAAAAAGCCTTTTGATGCAGGTATAACAAAGTTATCATGACACAGTTACTGAGGGTGACATGGGCAAATTGTTAAATTCGTATTTTTCCTCATGTTTCTCCTATTTTTGCCACTCAAATAATGTAAAGATCATGTAAAATATATTCGACAGTAACAAACGCAAAGAGACCGTTGGAATCAGCCAGACTCTTCGATTTGTTTCCCACTCATGTCTATCCTGCTCACTCTCACAGCAACGTTGAGTTCTTACACATAAATGAAATGAAACGGTGCAGACTCTTTCACCATCCGCTGCTGATCCATTCATGAATAGCAGTGTTTGTTTTCTGCATGGAAAGTTCACCGGCGCAGTTCAGAAGCATGGGATTGGATCCTAGTTCTCCCTTGGATTATCACATTCCTGCTCGGTGAAGAGTTCCATACTGAAGCGCGATATAGCCCTCTAAAATACACTTCATCAAGTATCTGTCTTTTTAAACTCGTATTTGATTCTGTTTAAATCGAGTCTTGATGCAACAGTGTCACACAGGAAGCTGATTATGTTTGGTTTAACTTGTAAGTGTCTTCAAGCTTTGAGGAACCCCAATACCTTTCTTCGCCTCGATACACCAGTGACCTTTGTAAACAATTTTTTGTTGTGTTACTTCCGCTTTGTTTTTCCTCTTAAATGAAATTAATCTGTACATCTGTATAGTTTGATTCAGGGTTTCCATTAGCTTGAAATGACAGTTTTTGTTATAATATCATCATGATCATTATCACTGTCCGTGAGTTTTACCGCAGCAGTCTTAACACTTGGATTCCCTGACGTCTTTTTGGTTTCGGCGTTTCTCTTTGCGGCCCTTGCCTTCATTGTTGTCATCCTGTTTCTCCTTCTCGGGCTTGGTTACACTGTCATAGGACGGCAGGGATGCAGTGGAAGGTGTGTCCTCTTTCTTCTCCTGATTGGTCCCTCCGTTCTCCAGTTTGTTGTTGGCAGGCCTGCGTTTGCAGATGAAACCTCTGCGTACCAGGTGGGATCGGTACGCCCTCTGGATGACGACAGCTGACACCTCCTCCTGTTTACGCCGCAGCGTGGTAGTGATGGGCTCGTATGACACTTTGGAAGGATTCGCCGCTACAAAGCGTTCCTCCATTTGCTGTCTCATCATGTCCAGGTCGCCGCTGTCACCCAGCACACGCTTGGTAAAGGCGAACAGAATATCCAAGCAGTGAATGCGGTCGCCACTCACCATGGGCATGTCCATGGCGATCAGCTCGATGATGTTTGGCTTTGGCACACGGAGAGGATGTTCTAATGTATCTGCAAAGTCTGGCAGCTTGGCAAAGGTGATGAACTGCGAAGCGTCTGGGTCGAACTTCTCCCAGATTTCATAGAAGGACTCAAAGTCGTCTTCACACAGTGGATCAGCACTCTCCTCAGTGGCAACACTGAAGTTCTCCAAGATGATAGCGATGTACATGTTCACCACAATTAGGAAGGACACAATAATGTACATTACAAAGAAGAAGATTCCTACTGAGGGATTGCCACAATTGCCCTTAACTGTGGTTCCTGGGTTCTCCTTCTCAGGATTGCAGTCAGGTGGATAGTTCAAGATAGGAGCCAAGAGGCCATCCCACCCAGCTGATGTGGTGATCATGAATAGACAGATCATGCTGTTGCCAAAAGTTTCAAAGTTATACATGTCATCAATTCCTAATTCTCGTTTCACATAGGCAAAGTTAGACATGCCAAAGATGGAGAAGATGAACATGACTAGGAAAAGCAACAGGCCGATGTTGAACAGCGCAGGAAGTGACATCATCAAAGCGAACAGCAATGTCCGGATGCCCTTGGCTCCTTTGATTAGACGCAGAATGCGACCAATTCGAGCCAGACGGATTACCCTGAACAAAGTTGGTGACACAAAGTACTTCTCAATGAGGTCTGCCAGGAACATACCTGAAAAACAAAGCAAATATTTTTTTTACAAAACTGTTCAAAGCTCATAAAATGTGAAAGGTGTCAAGAAAAACAGAAAAATAACCAGTCAAATTTATGAAATCACATTTGGACACAACACTCACCCACAATGGACAGAATGACGACAACGCAGTCAAAGACGTTCCAACCATTGGTGAAATAGTAGTGGCGCAGAGCAAAGAGTTTCAGGACGAACTCGCCAGTGAAGGCCACAATGAATATGAAGTTTACCCAGTACAAAATGTTCTCTGTCTCTTCTGACTGATCATCTGTTTCCACCATCATGGTAACCATGTTAAGACAGATGAGGATCATGATGGAAATGTCAAAGGCCTGCTCAGTGACAAAGTCAAATACCATGCCCTGGATTTTGTTCTGTAAGAAAAGGAAAAGAAGACGAAATACAGAAGAGATTAGAGGACTAGAAGTCTTACTTAAATTGAATATAAAGAAATCAGTTAGCAATTTGTTGTAATATATGAAGTCAATAAATAAGACAAAAATTGGAAAAATATTAGAAATTGACAAATAAATAGACATATTTAAAACTAGAAAATTTTCAATTCATTAAAAAAAATGTATGTAAAATGTAGCAATAAAATAATTAATGAATAAAACACTTCTGAAATTGACAAACATTTTAAACCTTTTTAATTTGTTTAAAAATTTAGTTAAATGTAACAATAATAAATTCAAATGCTTTTGATATAGACAAATGAAACATTTAAAACTGTTTAATTTATATTTAAAATATAGTAAATAAATGTAACAGTAAGAAACATTTTAAATGCAACTTTTTGCATTTAAATTTAATTTGCAATTGCATTTTATGCCATATGCTTCTTTTATCCACTTGCCATTCTAGATATAAAAAGAATACACATGCTTGAATATGCCATTATTGGTCTATCATATGCACCAATCATTGATGGCCAGATATGTGTAGCAACCCAGATCTAAATGCTTATTTCTCTGCTTACCAGAGGTCTAGGGATGGGTTTCTGGGGTTTCTTAGAGCCCAGTTTCTTCATAGCATTGTAGTACTTTTTCTGTTCTTCAGTCATGAAAATATCCTGACCTCCAAAGTATAGGGACAAAAAAAAAGACTGGTTACAACCTGACAACCCCATGTGCTCAAATGGGGCCCATAGAAACCCATTGCATTGCACACTAAGGCTGTAATTAAGGAGATTTCCCCATTAAGCACAAAATTGAAAGCATGTCTTGCAAAAATTACGGACAGAATAGAAGATAACATAAAAATGCAGTAAGAAAGCGTGAAAGTGCAAAGGACAGAGAAGAAATTTAGGTGAAGTCAGCACTGTAGAGGTGAAAAAAAGAGAGAACACTTATCTTTTTCTTCTGTTGGTTAAAGTTGTCAATAATGACACCGATGAAGAGATTCAGAGTGAAGAAGGACCCAAAGATAATGAAGATGACAAAATATATATACATGTAGATGTTGTCCTCATAGATGGGCTGGTCCCCAACCTGAAAGCAGCAATAAGCAAAAAGTGACTCACTTGAATAAAGAGCCAACAGTGTCAAACTATAAAAACATCCGCACCCTTCTGGAATCCACAGCTGCATACATGATGTCCATCCAGCCTTTGAATGTGGCCTAGGTCATATGGAGAAAGAGCCCAGACTCAAATCTATGTTTATCCTCTTATTATAGTTCATTTATTAAGAAACTTGTGTTTACTGAGCAAGGTCATGGTGGGTATTTAAACAACTGATACACAAAAGATGTGAGATGACTTACCACTTGTAAGAGTGCCAGGTAACCTGCGCCCACATTATCGAAGTTGATCTTCACATTCTTCCAGCGAACCTCTGTGTGGTTCGCACTGATGAGTGCAAAGCATTCTGTCCTGTTGTCGACATCGTCACTCTTAAAATATTCTTCTGATGTCTCGTTGAAGCAGTAATAGTACTTCCCAGCAAACAGGTTGACACCCATAATACTGAAGATCAGCCAGAAGATCAAACACACCAACAGCACATTCATAATGGAGGGAATGGCACCCACCAAAGCATTCACGACGACCTATAGGACAAAAAAATTAAAAAAATTGGGGGGAAGTGGGCAAAAAAGGGGGATGGATTTCAGTAGAGTGTTTGAGAGAGAAATAAAAAAAATAAACAGAGAGATAGAGAAAGTGGGTGTTAGAGTAAAATTTAGCTATTCTGATGTTCATGTGTTAAATATGTAATGTGCATATCTTCAAGCTCTTTTGAAAGCGATCCAATTTTACACCTCTACACATTTTGTCATGAACAAAACGGTAAATTAATCTCTTTGAGAACAACAAGATTTACTCTACAATTACCATGCCAACACCTTAATAATGAATTCTTCGAAAGTCCAATTGTAATTTTTCGTGCAAGAGCATGGAGACAAATACACAAATATATTGTAACTTAACATAGAATCTTAAGACGACAGCATTATGATGATGTAAACTGGTATGGCTTGATCCCCAAACAGAAATTAAGTAAAATAATAAAATAAATAAAAAGTGTACATTAAAGTGGCAAAGGTTATACAGATAAAATGCAAGAAAACTCTTTATTCTGATGAAATGTTTGATTTAAATTGAAATTTGAGCCATTTTTATCACATCAAGGTTTAAATATACAGGATAGCCTTCGTGGTTTCTCTCTGTCTGTGAGCTGCATGCTGGATTTCACATGCTCTGCTTCTATCTGCTTCACATTACTTACTTGCTACCTTATTTGCAAGCCAGCATTGTTCCCCATTCGATGATTGGATAAAAGTTTTATTATAAAATGCTATATAATCTAAAGAATCCAGAATTGTATTAAATATGATGAGTCTGAGTTTTTAAAAATAAGAATGGGTAGCAATTTCATGCTTGACAACGGTGTCTCAAGTAATAAGAAACAAACAGAAGCAAAACAACGTCAGTATCCACAGGACTTGTGGAATTCAATTTGTAGACCATTGCCACTTTTAATTTATTATTACTCATACATAAATACATAACCGCCAAACAATTTTTTTTCTCTTGCCATACCATTATACCACTTAGTGTCATGAAAGAACCCAGATATTAAGAGAAAACTACCTGCCACATTTGTGGTAAAAATGTAAAGGTAGACATTGTAGACGAAGTCTCCCACCCTCCCAATCACCTCTCACTCACGGTACACACAAAAGCTGTGATGTCAGCACATATCATCTGGTTGGGTAATGTCAGAAATGGTCAGCCAATAACGGTGCATGCAGGGCATCAATCCTAGCAGCAGCCATGCCCCCCCTCTAATTTATACATCTTAAAAGATTAACCATATCAACGATCTTACTAACTAATTAATTAGTGATCCTATAACAAAGTGTAGGGAATGTTTCAAAAATGTATTTCTCAAAAATAAGTGAAATTTGACCTGTACATACTCCAGGCATTCAGGCAATCAGTGCAGTTTGCTCAGCAAATAAGCCTGGTGTATACGTATACGATTGGTATGTATATATATATATATATATATATA